ATAGAGAAATGAAGACTCAAAAGAGAGACTTTTAAGTTACTTCTGGTCAAGAAAAAAACCTAGGTGTACAATCTGAGACTTGAACACAGGCAATTTCCCATATGAACCCGAGCAGGAGCCCTGGCTCAAAATTAAGTGCTTGGCTGCTAACACAAACGTTAATGGCTTGAAGCTTCTCAGAGGAGAAGACCTGTAAACATTACCACCTAGTAAATCCTTCGGGACAGTTCTCCTCTGATCTATGGAGTTTCTGTGAGTTGGGGTTGACAGCAAACAACAACAGCAAGAGACAGGCTCTAGACCTTACTCCTTTATTTCATCAGGATCAGAACTGGAAAGATGAATACGTATGTCCGTGACACAGAGTTCTGTGTGTGCTTCCGAAGGCCCAGCCAATGAGAGCACTGGTTCCTACTCCAGGCAAGTTGTGTGAAGGGCTAGGCTTGGTCACATGCTTCTGGCTAAGGCTTCTAACTTCACTCAGCTTCAATTCCCTCACTTTTTAATTTGATTAATTTCCAAGGAGTTGCTTGGTTTAATCCTCTCCAGGATGAATCTATTTGTTTTCTTTGAAGATTATGGTCCAGGATTACCATGCATATCTGTTACATTTTCTTTCTCTTGTCTTTATTTTGAAGGGTCTAGGTAGCTGCTTGCCCTGTCTGCCTGCCTGCATTCTGTGGCACCACAGCTCAAAGGCATCAATTCTCCTTCTCTCCTCCCTAGTCATTGTCCAACTCTCTGATGCATAACAAGTGATTGCAAAGACCATGGCCTGTATCAGGCGCACCTTAGTCTCCAGAGAGACACCGTTGCTCTTGAGTACTTTAGAGAGGTCCCTAACAGCAGACTTTCCCATCGCAATACGTTTTTTGATTTCCTGACTGCTGGTGCCAAGAGTGTTGACTGTGGAGCTGAGCAAACTGAAGCTGTGAACAATTGCAATCTCTTCGCCATCCATCCTGATGCTACCGATTAGTCCAGTGGTGACAATCTTTGTCTTCTTGACATTGAGCCTCAGTCCATACTGAAGGTTCCAGTCCTTGACCCTCTGCAGCAAGTGCATGAGGTCCTCCTCAATTTCAGCAAGCAGGGTTGTGTCATCTGCATAACGCAGATTGTTAATAGATCTTCCACCGATCCTGATGCCACACTTCTCCTCATAGAGACCAGCCTCCCGGATAATCTGCCTTGCATAAAGATTGAAAAGGTATGGAGACAGGACACATTCCTGGCGTACACCCTTCCCAATTTTGAACCATGCAGTGTTGCCCTGCTCTGTTCTGACAACTGCCTCTTGGTCCAAGTATAGGTTTCGTATTAGCACGATTAAATGTTCTGGGATTCCCATTCTTCTCAGAGTCAGCCACAGTTTGTTGTGATCCACACAGTCAAACGCCTTGTAGGATGGTAAAATGGTACAACCATTCTGGAAGGCAGTTTGGCACTTCCTCAAAAAAGCTGAACATAGACATTCCTTATGACCCAGCTATTCCACTACTTGGAATATACCCTCAGAACATGAGAACTGAGTCACAAACTGAGATTTCACCATCGCAAGAACATAGAAACAGCCCAAATATCTAACCACAAATAGATTGAGAAATTATGGTACATTCACACAATGGAATACTTTGCAGCACGCAGGAGCAATAACTCTGTCAATTATTAACTAACTTGGGAAGGACTGGAGACCATTATACTGAGTGAATTAACTCAGTCCCATAAGGATAAATATTGTATAAAACTGTTATTGTAGAATGAGTATAAGGATCCAGGAGGGATGAGAGAAGCTGGAAGCAGAGGGATGTGGATGGGAAGGGGCATGAGGGGATTAATCATTGGGTTGCACAATTTGATGGGTGATAGGGTGAGGGAGATGGAAAGAATTTGTTTGAATTTGTATTCAAATTTTGTAAATAAACTAGTAGACAAAACAAAATAAAAGATACTTACCAAGAGGTATCTGGATGTAACTCTCTTGACTCCATTCACTCCAGTATCCATGGTCTGGTTTGCAGCGAACCTGGACAGTGTACTTCTGTCCTGGATATAAGCTGAAGATCTTAAACTGAGTCTGCTGACCAGCAAAGTGATTCTAAGGAGGAGTGTGGGAAGCAAATGTTACTTCTCATTTTGGTTATGAAGACAACAGGTGTTCCTCCTCAGCAGTAAACAATTAGAAGAGTCAGACTTGGCAGACACGCAATTCTTACCCTTCATCCTTCTCAGCCCCACCTTTCTTCCCTTTAAAATGTCTTACCCCCTAAATTGACAGATTATTTATCTCCTCATTAGAAGTTCTATTTCTGATAAATACTGCCTTAAACTCTACTCTCTGGAAATAATGTTATCTACTCTAAAACAGGCAATCTACTGGCCTGGAAGTAAGGAGTTGTGCAACCAACCTAAACACACATGGTATGAATTCTCCAACTGCTCTGTGGGGAAAAAGATGGCCAATATCCTGTACAATTTAATCTTTGAAAAACTGCTGGAAACTAAGCTCTGAGTTGGTTCCAACTCACTGGCACACGGCAAAAGATCTAAGATACACTGAGGGAGGCAGGCTGGAATTCTAAAGGAAGAGATATGCAGAGAGCTGTGAGGACGAAGAATGAGCATTCCCATCAGTCCCGACAGAGTGGAAGCACTTCCACTCCTGGGTGAGGCACACGAATATGTTGTTTGTGGTTGTTGTTATGTGCCATCGAGTCGTTTGCGACTCATAGCGACCCTATGCACAACAGCCCTAAACCCTGCTCTATCCTGCGCCAACCGCACTGCCTCTGACACACCCATCCCGATTACCCCAGTCACCGAATCAATCCATCTTATAGAGGGTCTTCCCCTCCTGTGCTGTCCCTCCACCCTCCCAAGCATGATGTCCCTCTCCAAGGACCTGTCCCTCCTTCCAACATGTCCAAAGTATGTCAGGCGAAGCCTTAGAATCCTTCCCTCCAAGGAGTAGCTTGGTTAAATCCTCTCCAAAATGAATTTGTTTTCCTGACAGTCCATGGTACATTCAGTATTCTTCTCCAGCACCACAGCTCAAAGGCATCAACTCTCCTTCTGTCCTCCCTAGTCATAGTCCAACTCTCTGATGCATAACAAGCGATTGCAAAGACCAAGGCCTGTATCAGGCACACCTTAGTCTCCAGAGAGACACCGTTGCTCTTGAGTACTTTAGAGAGGTCCCTAACAGCAGATTTTCCCATCGCGATACGCTTTTTGATTTCCTGACTGCTGGTGCCAAGAGTGTTGACTGTGGAGCTGAGCAAACTGAAGCTGTGAACAATTACAATCTCTTCGCCATCCATCCAGACGCTGCCAATTGGTCCAGTGGTGAGAATCTTTGTCTTCTTGACATTGAGTCTCAGTCCATACTGAAGGCTGCAGTCCTTGACCCTTCACAGCAAGTGCATGAGGTACTCCTCAGTTTCAGCAAGCAAGGGGTTGTGTCTTCTGCATAAAGCAGATTGTTAATAGATCTTCCACCAATCCTGATGCCACAATTCTCCTCATAGAGCCCAGCCTCTCCCGGATAATCTGCTCTGCATACATGTTGAAAAGGTATGGAGACAGGATGCATCCCTGGCGTACACCCTTCCCAATTTTGAACCACACAGTGTTACCCTGCTCTGTTCTGACTACTGCCTCTTGGTCCAAGTATAGGTTTCGCATTAGCACAATTAAATGTTCTGGGATTCCTTTTCAGAGTCAGCCACAGTTTGTTATGATCCACACAGTCAAATACCTTTGCATACTCAATGAAACACAGATAGACATTCTTCTGGTATTCTCTGCTTTTAGCCAAGATCCATCTAACATCAGCAACAATATCCCTAATACCACGACCTCTTCTAAACCCAGGCTGGACTTCCGGCAATTCTCTGCTGATGTGCTGTTCTAATAGTTTTTGGATAATCTTCAGTAGAATCTTGCTTGCATGTGAAATCACTGACACTGTTCTGTAGTTTCCACACTCAGTTGGGTCATCTTTCTTTGGAATGGGAACAAATATAGATCTCTTCCAGTCAGTTGGCCAAGTGGTTGTTCTCCAGATTTCTTGGCACAACTTGGTGAGCACATCCAGGGCAACATCTGTTATCTGAAATACTTCAATTGGTAAACCATCTATTCCGGGGGCCTTATTTTTTGCTGTTTCCTTCAAATCAGCTTGAACTTCTTCCTTCATCACAATAGGCTCTTGCTCATATGTTATTTCATTAAATTCTTCTGTATCTGCCAATTCCTTTCTATACAATGACTCAGTATATTTCTTCCATCTTCTTTTAATACTTCCTGGATCATTTAATATTCTGCCCAAAGCATCCTTGATTATAGCAACTCTAGGTTTGGATTTGTTCTTCAGTTCCTTGAGCTTAAGAAATGCTGAGCAAATATAGGGCAGCCAATATGGTGGCCCTATAATTAAGAGGAATGATCTGATCTCAGCTGTCAGGGTTCATCCCTGCCAAAGGATATACCTCCTTCAAAAAGCTTCCAGGTGACTCACCTCCCACTCAGCTGCATTCTCAGTTTTCAAGCGAATTTCATACTGGAGTGAGAACCAACCAGTTCTTACATCAGCTAGGACTGGTGGAAACCATTTTATCCACAGATACGATCTTCTGTCTTCTGGCTGCTTTACTTCTAACGTCAGGTTTAAAGGACTTTCTGGTTCAACTGTAAACAGGAAAGAAACTCTTAGTAGCACTCATGGCTTGCATTTTTAATTTGACTTTCATGATTTTCTACCACACACTTCACACTGTATAGAGTTATTTTCCCCATCTGCCTTCAAGCCACTGGAAGAAAAGAACCATCTCTCCTGCCACTTACTAGGTGCCAGGTCAGGTTTGTGCTTAAAGATAAGGTTTGATGGGAACAGTAATACATGAGGTTTTATTTTTTGCTTGTTCTCTACCACTTATCACTTTTTTTTTTTGCCAAACTTTTTTATTTAGTATTCTGTAGTTAACACACACTTAAATGGTCTTATTGGGGAAAGGGAAAGGGGAGGCTCTTGCAGATTCCTAAGGAAATGTCAGAAAGGCAATATATGGCCAGCATTATCCATATGCTTTTTTCACTTTACTGAGTGAACAGCATTTTCCTTATGTAAGCATCTGTTCTCAGGTTTCTGACACTGAGATTTCGGTCTGAAGACACCCTGATATCTTAAAGAGTATCAAACTCAACCACCCTTCTATATTACCTATCTAGCTTGTTTATATAGGCAGAATGAACCATCTGTCCATTTTAGATGGCTAGACGTCCATGAAAAATCTTAGTATTGCTTGCCTCATCTACTGGGGTTAATCAAATAGATAGTGGCCTTCAGGAACAGTTAAAAGAGAATTACAACCTTAGCACACAAGTTTTACACATTTAACATTTGTATGTTGAAAGCAAAGTCATAAAAGCAAATAAAATTAAACATGTTTACTGCTTTTCCTCACAAGAACATAAAATTATGGAGGAGAACTTAACACGAAATTTTAAAAAGTAACAAATTTTTTTTCCTTTCAATTGTCCTTGGATAGTTAGGACAGAATAGGTTCCACTTTTTGTTTCACTGAGCAAGGATTCTGGTCCAAAGTTTTGTTTGGTTTTAGTATCTGCTTCTGCCTTCCTCTCTATCAGATCTTCTTCTTCCACGGGCACCATCTCTTGGTGCTCCGTGGCTTGAACTGCTGTAGGAATCACGTGGAGGAGGGTACCCCCTTTAGATAGGAGGAAGTCCTCGTTCTTGTCTGCCAACCTGATCATGGCCACTTGAGTAAATATCACTTTGGCTGCTTGAGTAACTGTCTCGACTTCCACCATATCCGTCTCATGAGCTGCTGTAATCATCATAGTGACTTCTTCTACCGTAAGATGGCGGGGGCCCTCGTGTGGGTGGAGCACTACGTGAGGTACCATAACTCTCATAGGAATCTCTGTAGGAGCCTCCACTTGGATGATCTGAATAATCGCGATCACGACCATATCCATCTCTATCACTATAGCCTCTGGATGGATAGTCATCGCGTGAACTGGAATGACCATAATCATGATATGTATAATCTCTTGGAGTTGGTGCATAATCTCTTATATCCCTAGAACTTGGGTAATCTCTGCTTGAATAACTATCTTTAGTAGAATACCCATCATCTCTTGGGGAGAAGTAAACATCTCTATGTGAAGGTAAGGGTTCCCTTCTTGGTGGACCTCCATAACTATCTCTCCCACGTGATATAGGTGCTCTTCCACCCATTCCACTGCTGCTTCAAACTGGTCCTGAAGGGGCTGATCTTTTAGGACGCAGCCCTCCACTTCGTGGTGGTGGTCCTCTTTTCACTGGCAGTGGTCCCCGAGAAGAACTCATGTTAAAGTTCATAGAATAGCCACCATCATCCATGTCATCTCCACATGAAGGGGGTCCCCTGGTTCCTCCACTTCCTTCTCTTCCATCTCAAAGACCTCTTGGAGGACCTCTGTTTCTTGGAGGTGGAGATGGTCCATGCCTACCACTTTCAAATACTGGTTTAGTGGCTTGTTCCACTTTGATAGCCTTTCCATCCAAAGACTTTCCATTCATATCTTTTTCAAAGGTGACAAAATCAAATCCTCTTGATTTGTTGGTTTCTCAATCTTTCATCAAGAGCACTTCTACAATTTGCCCATATTTGCCAAATACAGCTTCTAGGGCTTTCTCATTTGTTTCTGTATTGAGCCCTCCAATGAAGAGTTTTCCTGGGCGATCAGGTTCAACGATTTTCCCCCCGGGGGGGTATGCATTGCAAACCAGATGACTGTTCCAAGCTCCCTTGAAGCTCCCTAACTGGTGATTCAATAAGGCTCTGCACGAGGGCCCACCGCTGGGTATGAGGACAAGGAGAAGCTGCTCACACTGCAGCCAGTTTGCCAGAAAAAGGTGAAATACTTTACTCCAGTAAGATTTACAGTCTCATGCTCGCTTCAGCAGCACATATACCGTGCTGCGGCCGGCCGCGCTTGCTCCCACTTAACACTTTTGTATGGCTGGGATTAGAAAGCTCTCCAAATAGGGATGATAGAAGGAGAGCTGATGCCTTTGAGCTGTGGTGCTGGAGAAGAGTATTGAATATGCCACGGACTGCTAGGAGAAGTTTGTCCTGGAGAGGGTGAAGCCAGGCTGCTCCTTGGAGGCAAGGATTCTGAAGCTTTGTCTGACAAAGTTTGGACAAGTTGCATGGAGGGACCAGTCATTGAGAGGGACGTCATGCTTGGGAGGGTGGAGGGATGGCACAGAAGAGGAAGATCCTCGATGAGATGGATTGATTCAGTGACTGGGGTAATGGGTTTAAGTGTGTTGGAGACAGTGAGATTGGCAAGGGATAGAGCAGGGTTGAGGGCTGTTGTACAGAGGGTTGCTATGAGTCACAAGTGACTCGATGACATATAACAACAACATGACAAAGACAAGGTGGTATAAATCAGGCTGACATTTGCAGGTGGGAGCTGAGATGGAAGACTACACAGTACAGGGATTTCAAATATATATATATATATATATATA